TTCTATTCTATTCTATTCTATTCTATTCTATTCTATTCTATTCTATTCTATTCTATTCTATTCTATTTTAAAATCCCATTCCCTCACTACTCCACTAACCTGCTTTCCAGCTCCGTTCTCCTGTGCAGGGCAACAAAAAAAGACCCAGCCAATCAGCTGGGACTCGGGAAGCAGAGAAGAGACGGGGGCGGGGCCAGTCAGAGGTGGGATTTGCCGGTTCTCTGAACTACTCAAAATTTCCGCTACCGGTTCTCCAGAACTGGTCAGAACCTGCTGAATACCACCTCTGGTGCAGGAGGAATTCCTCATGAAATGCCTACAGATAGTCCTTGATTTACAACCACAACGGAGCCCAACATTTCTGTTGCTGAGAGAGACAGTTAAGTGAGTTTTGCCCCATTTTTGACCTTTCTTGCCACAGTTGTTAAGCGAATCTTGCAGCTGAATCTGCACTTGTTAAGTTAGGAACACGGTTGTTAAGTGAATTGGGCTGCCCCGTTGATTTTGTTTGTCAGAAGGTCGCAAAAGCGGATTACACGACGCTGGGACATTGCAACTGGGGCCAAGTGTCAGAATTTTGATCACGTGACTATGGGGATGCTCCAACGGTCGTAAGTGTGAAAAATGGTCAAAAGTCACCTTTTTCAGGACCTCTGTAACTTTGAACGGTCACTAAATGAACTATTGTAAGCCAAAACCTACCTGTAATAATTACCTGAATTATCTACAACAGTGATGGCTAATCTTTTCATCGTCGCTTGCAGAAAGTGCACGTTTATGCTCCTGCACCCATAATGCAATATGCGCATGACCCCTTACTCCCTGCGCATGCGCGTGTGACCCTCCCCCGTGCTCCAGGCTTCTGCGTATGCACGTGTGACCTCCCCATACACAACCCCCCCTCCTGCCAATGCACATGCATCTCCCCCACGCATGTGCGTAGATACCCAACAATCAGCTAATTGGCAGGAAGCGCATGTGCATTGGCAGTGGATCAGTTCCAGGCGACAGTTCGCATGCTGCCAGAAATGGCTCTGCGTGCCACTCCCACCACGTGTGCCATAGCTTCCCCATCACGGATCTATATACTGCTTGGAACCATGCTATCTAGCATTCCCTATTGCAGGTATCAAAGAAAAAAAACCTTCTGGAGATGTCTGATGGACCGTGCCTGGGGGACTTTTAATGCCTATGAATCGGCCTTTGAGTTTTCACAATTTCTGAGCCAAGAGACGTATTTTAACTGAGGGGTATGCTGAGGACTACATTCCAAAAACTGGAACAAGAACAAATTGTAAGTTGGATTTAATTTGCATGTTCTGAGTGTACATCACTATTTGGGGCGTGCCTCCTGGTTAGCAAATCAGATGATGATATAAAAGCTAGGGACAGATGGAAACCAGCCTCCTTTGAAAAGAAGGGAGACAAACAACCATTACATAAGGCAGGGATGGGCAACTCTAGCCCCTGTTAAGAGCCGTGGACTTCAATTCCTGGGAGTCGAAGTCCACAGGTCATACAGGGGCTACAGTTGCCCACCCCTGACATAAGGCATGAACAAAGGAGAAGCACAAAAGGATTTGAATATTATTTTGATACATAGCTTGCTTTTAGAAGTCCTAGCTTGCACTGAACAGCAGTCAATGCAACCATACTCCAGGCCCTTGCCAAACACTTTGCATTCTGACCTAGGCTCACGAAGCCGACTCCTCGTCCCGGTAAAACCCCTCTTATTTAGGCTAAAGGGAATTCCTCTCCAGCAAAGTCCCAGCAAACAGTCTTTCAGGAGATGACACAACTACAGTCCTTTAACAGGCTTGGAGAGTTGCCAGGCCGATATCTTCCAAATGCCAGGCTTTAGCAGCAATTAATTGGCAAGAAGTCAGGAACAGATCTTCACTCTAACGAATTGAACTAATTGTCTCCTGCAAACCCTACTCCCCTTTCACTCCTCTTTATTCCCTATGGGAGGGGCCATTCACCGTCCACCTGTGGCTTTACTTCCGAGTTGACCCTTGTTCCTTAAGTGTTTTCTTCTCCTGGCAGCTCTGCGAATTCACACACTGGAAACAGGCTCCAGCTGCTCTTCTGCCCCACTGATCTCCGACTCCAAAGGCAGCTGATAACTGTCAGGTGTCCCTGGCCCCATTTCTGCCTCTGACACAGAGCACTTGTCAGAGCCTTCCCCAGACTCCAGGGCTCGCCCATGTTCCTCCCCAACCTCCTCACTGTCCGAGTCTCTGGCGGGCCACAACACAGGGTGCCATGTTCCATGGTCACATGACTGAAATTGGTGATGTTTTCTGCTGGTTTCCAGCAAAAAAACACATTATCTGGGAGAGTGGATTCAGACATGACTCTGTAATTCCCTTAACAACTGACGTAAAAAAAACCACATTAAACCATTGGGTATGGCTATGTGGATGCCTCGAATTACAATTAATCCTGGTTCCAATTAAGGTTTTAAGTTCAGGAATACCTGTACCTTCTTCATCTTCATCTCAGATATACACTTGGAATGTGTGAAGTTGGACAAGCCCTCAATTTTTTTTTGTGTCCATTGGAGATGAAAACAATGAGAATGCAAACACACACAAACACACAATCTCTCCATTGTTGCTTTTCCCAAAAGGAAGCACAGCAAAATATTCAGATAATTTAAAGTAGATTGAAACATTGATGTAGAAACGTGTTATATGCAGAGGTCTCCAACCTTGGCAACTTTAAGACTTGTGGACTTCAACATGCTGACTGGTCAATTTATGCTTCAGATTCTCTCTGGTGTTTGTCCTACGGTCTATATCACAATACAGAGATCAAGATTTATCCCTGAGATAGCCTCTTCTGCTTCAAATGTGATTTTTATATGCCATCGAAGAAGGTTGGTATTTATTTTTGGAAAGAATCCGTGCTATGAAAAACAATATTTTTAAAATTACCCTGACCAGCACACCGAAACGCTACTTAATGGTTGCAAAGCGATTGTTTCAGATTGCAGAAACTCTGGCCTCATTCCTGAAGGTTTGCCAAGTTCCCCATAATATTGTGTGTTGTGTTCTCCATTCAACCGGCAACCACATTTCAAGAGGGAAAAATGGCCTTCAATCCTTCTAAGCCCCCCAAAATAAACCAACCACGTTATGATTTAGGGTTGCATGCAAACCATTTTGAACGCACACTCAAATCCTATAGCTTTTCATGCAGAAGAAAGCACGATTTGGGGGGGGGGGGGGGGGGTGTCCACCAGGATTGAGCTTCCCATGGAGAAGCAACTGTTTAAGGAGTTCCAAGATCCTACCAAAGAATTCAGATTTCACAGAGAAAAGTTTCGGTGATTTTGTTTTTGAGTGTTCACTCTTAAATATTTCCCTGGTATATTTCCCTGAAGAGTAGGGGTCTCCAATCTTGGCAGCTTTGTGACTTGTGGACTTCTACTCCCAGAATTCCTCAGGCAGCCATGCTGGCTGAGGAATTCTGGGAGTTGAAGTCTTACAAGTTGTAAAGTTGCCAAAGTTGGAGCCCCCTGCCCTGAAGTTGGCTTTCTTAGTCTTTGTCTTCAGCGTTGTTTTAAAGCATGATTGTTATCAGAGAAAAACAGAAATACAGATTTGTTTGGAAGTAAAAGTCACCTGGACGGGTAGCCCGCTGCACTGATACGGATGGTCTCCAACACTCCACAAGCTCTTAGTTGTTGCACTGCTCTCTTCGGATCAAAGCTGTCAAGACATAATTGATGGCCCTCATGAACATGGCTGTACAACACATTCAGATCCCTGTTCATTTATATCGTCTATGACCGTGATGGCGAACCTATGGCATGCGTGCCACAGGTGGCACACAGAGCCATTTGTGCAGGCACGCGAGCCCCAGCCAAACTTACCTGCAGTGCGCATGCGCACGCCTCCCAGCTGAGGCTTGAGGGAGGCCTCTGCAGTCTTGGGAGGCCAAAAAACAGCCCTTCTGGAAATACTGGAAGTCCCCATTTTCAGCCTCCAGGGGGCCTCTGGAGCCCAGTGGAGGCCATTTTCAGCCTCCCAGAGGCTCAAGGGAAGCTTCTGCAGCTTTTGGAGGCTGAAAAACAGGCCAGTTTCGGCACTTCTGGTATTTCCGGAAGGCCCGTTTTTCGGCCTCCCGAGACTTCCTTTGAGCCTCTGGGAGGCCGAAAAAGGCCTCAAACAGGCTGAAAATCAGCTGGGAGGCACACGCATGCGCAGTGCAGGTAAGGGGGTGGGGGGAGTTTTGCATGTGCATGCGCAGGGGGGCGGGGGGCGGGACACATTGCATTGTGGGTGCCAGCACGCACGTGCTTTTTCGGCACACCACAAGAAAAAGGTTCACCATCCCTGGTCTATAAACTCAGTTCTAATCTTAAGCATAATCTTCCTAAACTTTAAAGACTTCAGTAAGCTTTGCACTGAAGTCTCAACATGCCTTTATTTATCAATAATTTATCAAGAAATAAAATATAAAAGATGAAAACAGAGGGAAAATGAAGGATGGAAAAGGGAAAAAGGAGTGTAGGGCAAAGGAGCAAAAAGGGAGAAAAACATTGACTTCTGACACTTTTTAGAACAGCAGACTAAGATAGTAAGACCCTCAACGTTTTACTTTTACATGCTAATATATTCTAGCTATTTCTGTAATAAACTTAGATAATCAGCAAAATTCAAGGTTCCATTTTTCCCCATCTCAAGCACAAAATCAAGAAGTGATTTCCAAGTAGAAGCAAACATGGATGTGTTCTTTTCTCTGACTAAAGCAAGCAATTTAGCCATCTCTGCTGGTTCCATCAGTTTTTCCACCCACTCATCTATTGCTGGAATTAAAGTTTCCCCCCATTTTGTGAATAAAGCATGCTTGCTGCTATCAACAATATGTTACAGCAAAATTCCAGATTTTTTTATCTTCCAGATTCTTTTTTATTTAGTATCTCGATACACTTCATAAAATTATTGATTAATCTATATGCCTTGGAGGCAGCAGGTTGGAGGAATGCTGTTCAGTTTATACTAGTGCTTAATTAATGGCTTCTTGATGGAATTTCCAATTTCTACTTCACCTTCCCAGAAAAGGCTAATCAGAAGGGGAAATTCCTCATTCCTTTTTGGCTGTTCTTTCAAACATTCTTGAATAGTTTCTTCATCAGATTTGCGATTGCAGACAAAAACACATCAGTATACCTGTCCTTTGTTTCCTGATCAGTGCACACCTGAGCCGCGACATGGCAGCGTGTCCAACGCAATTAATGTTGCTAGTTTCTGGGCAAGATCTATACATATTTTAATGTTGTATTTTAAATTTTAAATTTTATGCCGTATAGCAGGGGTCTCCAACCCCCGGTCTGCAGACTCGTACCAGTTTGCGGCCTGTTGGGAACTGGGTTGTGCAAGTGGCAGGCGAGTGCACAAAGCTTCACTTGACACATGCATGGGATGTCGGTTGTGCGTGCGAAACCATCTCTCTCCCACTGCTGGTCTGCAGAGCCAGAAAGGTTAAGGATCGCAGTCATACAGTGTGCAGTCAGCCTTAGAAGCCATCTTTTACTTGGAAGCTTCAAGGCTGCCACATTCAGTGCCTGGGTATTTGGGAGAGGGGATGTCATGGTGAGGTAGAAGATTAGACATAACAACATTCTTTCTCAGAGAGTCAAGGACATGTTGCCCTGCACTTGGAGGGGAGTGACTAGAAGGATGTCTCCAGTTGGGATGAAGATTTGATTGGGCCATGTGATGGACTGATGGGTGCAGGGGATGAATCTTTGATTTTCTTTTGGGAAGGGAAAAGCCGGAACTCTCATATTCAGGTTTTCCCAGATGTGCCAATATGACAATTCTAAAAAAATGGAACTTTGAGGAAATGTGTGTCTCGGAGTTTATTTGGTTGGAGTTTGTTAGTTGGAACACTGACATTTGCCTTATTTTAAGTGCGATGCTTCTGACACGAATAAATAAACAATCAGATCTGATTTGTGAGAATCAGTTCCTTCTAAAACTTATCTAGCATGTGTCCTTTAAAATGGGAGTCAATAAAAAAGAAAATAAGGTAAATGAAAATTGCCACCCACAGGATGCATCAAATTTTCAGGAGTATATCAAAATTGTAAATACACAAGAACAAATGTGTAATGCATAATTCCAGATCTATGCAGGCGTATTCATCTGTGTCATTGGTTCAATTGCATAAATAACAATTCAGCAATTTTCCTTTCAGTGAACACCTGTCACTACGCAGCTTCCCAAAGCAATTGAATCAGAGGCCTCTTTTGAGAAGCTGCTGTCATTTTAAAAGGACAGCCGCCTTGCACTTGGAACACAGCAATTATTTTTTTATATAACTTTATTAAAAGAAACACAAAAGCAATTGTTCAGGAACATGTTTTAAGGATATCAGATGTTTTTTTTTTTGAACCATCGTAAACAGGGACTGGAAAATGTCACTACACGAGGCAAGAAAATTGAAATGCTCCTTTCAAAATCTGTGAAAGGCTAACACATGGAAGACAACAAAGATTAATTCCTTATTGGCCTAAAAAACAGGATCAGATCAAATGAGATCAAGTAGACTGAAGGAGGTTGATAATCAAGCATTTTGACAATAAAATCAATTGTCTTGAAGGCTCCTTTTTTTCTTTTTTGCTAGAGACCTTCAACCAATGTTGAAATTCAACCTGTGTTGGGGATGCTCTCGATGTCCAGCACAAAACAAGGGATTAATTAAACTGCTTTAGGTGGCCTCTGTGGTTCTTTTCAATGCCATGATTTCATATCCTTTTTATTGTGGATGAAGGTGAATATATGTGTCCAATCTGGGTCAGTTACCAGAGGTTTAGTCTTCCAAGTTTTTGGACTCACGCTGCACCCCGTCTTTAGCCGAGAGGCCAAAAGAGTGCTAGCCAGCAACTTAATAGCCAGCCATCCCCAATCAACATCTAAAAAGCCACACACAAGAAGCACCACATAAATAACCACAGGCAGAATAGCTCAGCACACACTCTGCTAGAGAGTAATTCCCTGAGGATGGGCTCCAGCATGAATTGGAACACTCAGAAGACTAAACTTCCCAGATTACATCCTTTTCCTTGTGTTCTTAGAATGAAAAGTAGGAAGTAATACATCATCCAGGTCTGAATATGTACTTAATTTCTTTAATCAAGGAAGATTTAGGAGCACAAACATTTTTTTTCATTAGGCAGCTTCCTATTGTTTCTTCTCTGTTGTGAAGTAGACCTGACATGTTTTCACTCAAATTATAGTTTAAATCTCAGGGAATGAGATTCTTTTTAGAGAGTCGTTAAGGCCACCTGGAGGTTGATGCTGCCGACAGAGATAAAACCTCCAGGTGGCCTCAACGACTTTCTAAAAGAATGCAAATGACCAGCTGTCTGCAAGGAGTATAAATCTTTCCATTCTTCACCATCCAGTCAGAGGTGAAGAAGCTTCTTGGGTGAGAAGAGAAATGTCCCCAAAGAAAAACAAGGAAGTCCAATTGCCTCTTGAAAAAGAGCATTTGGGACTTTTGCTTTAATCTATTCTGAGCTTCCAATGTCACTTAAACAATTCAAGTATTCTTCCCAACGCATGAAGGAGGGGATGTGGGAACAGTAGTCAGTCTAACTCCCTTGCTTCCTTCACTCTCATCACTGGCTGGCCTGCTGGAACTTGTAGTTCAACACAACTTTTTCCAGGTTGAGGGCTTGGTCTTGTACCACCATGAATATAATGCAACGAAATAGATACGATACATAACAAAGCACAGCACAATATGCCTTCATGGACAATTGCTTTATATTTGTTGTATCTGTGGAAGTTGACACTGGAATACAAGTGGTCCATGAACTTGGCTGCAAAGGAGTGGATTTTACTCTACTAGTCATTACCAACTTTAGGGAGCGGTACTCATCTCATTTCAAGGTCAACGAGTCAGCGCTGTCCGAAGACATTTCCGTGGTCATGTGGCCAGCATGACATCACAGAGCGCTGTTACACAGCACTTGGCTGTGTATCCTTAGAAAAATAATAGCTGCGTTTGCACATTGTTTTACCATGTTTGGTGTTAAAAGCTAAAGACAGTTTGCCACTGCATTTTCCAGGGACTTTTTTCAATTTCCAAGTTGAACCCACAGCTCAGGTGGTCTCAGACCCAAATTTAGCAAGAACTGGACGTGACTAGCTATCAAATCCACCCAAGGATGGTTAGGTACTGCAGCCTGCTGAATAAACTACAACGATGTGGGTCAGCACAACAAATGGAATCATTAAGTAACTAAGGTGAAACCAAACACAACAGCCGCCTGGGGAATTCTGGGAGTTGACGTCCATACATCTTAAAACTTGCTGAAAAGCACTTTTGGGGGCTTATGATTATACCATGGTTGACATAACATACTAAGCAGCAAATATTTCACAGAATCACTGCTGTGAGATAAGCAGCTGTATCAATCGTATAGATAAATAAGTACACTAAAGTTAAAACTGGCTAATTTTGGCCTCTTGCATAAAGTCACAAGGTTCATGACACTCCCAATTAAGAGTGTTGTTTAAAAGGCAGCTAAGGATTCATAAGGTACCCAATAAGTAGAGGTAGCCTGCAACTGTGATGACCCAGGGTAAGATACAAAACAAACACAGTCACAGAAAACAGGTGAAGCCCCTTTTATGCCTTCACTTTGCTTCCAAGCTCTGAATATCCTTGATGGAAGCAAAAAAACTCCCACACAAAGTTACAAGAAGAAGGGAAAAAGCAACACAAACCAGGCAAGATAAGGGCTGGAGGACATCCATAGATAATACACACTGGGAAGGATGCTAAACTTAAGAGAGGAACCATAAACTAGAGATATTTCCATGCTTTGTTTCCAGCATTTGCCCGTTCGCAGGTCTGTACTCTTATTCAGTTGTCACAGCTGCAGCCCATGAAGAGGATCAAGGCCCTCTCCTCCCAAGTAGACCACATCTCTCCCTTATCCTCTCCTCCCTGCGTGCCCTAGGATGAAGAGGGGATGGGCCTGGGTCTGACTGCTCAGCCGGCCTCTGCCTTTCCCCAACCTCCTCCACAACCTCCGGAGCCACACTTCCACTCCCTGTCGGCTGTTCCTCCTCTCCCTCAGAGTCAGTCTGCACCAGGGGCATGACAGTGACTTACAATCACAACTGAGCCCCAGATTTCTGTGGTTAAGTAATACAGTTGTTGTGTGAGTTTTGTCCCATTTTGTGACCTTTCTCGGACCTTTCTTGTCAGGTTTGTTAAGTGAATCGCTGCAGTTGTTAAGTTAGCAATGTGTTTGTTAAGTGAATCTGGCTTCCCCGTTGACTTTGTTTGTCAGAAGGTTACAAAAGGGGATTACATGACTCCGGGACACTGCAACCGCCATAAACAGGGGTGGGCTTCAAAAATGTTAGCAACCTGTTTTCTGCCCGGTTGCTGGGTGGGCATGGCTATGGTGGGCGTGGCCTAGTTGGCCTCCTGCACCATGGCAAGGGGGCTGTTTTCGCCTTTCCCTGACTCCGGAGGCTTTCCTTGAGCTCTGGAAGTGAGAAAACATCCTCCCCAGGCTCCAGAGGCCCTTTGGAAACTGGAAACAGGCCCATTTCCGGCCTTCTGGAGCCTCTGGGAGGCTCGTTTTTCACCTTCCCCAAGCCTCTATGCAGGCCCTGTACTTACCTGGGATCCAAAACGGGCCATGTGGGGACTCCTAGGAGGGGCGGGGTGGGCGGGGCGAGCCAGGTGTCAGCTTTGGAAGCCATATTCCATGCTGCCACATAGCCTGAGAACGTGGAAGGGGGGATGATTTCAATTGAGTACCTCTAAGTGGACAAAATAAAATTCTCTTTAGTTAGTTTAAGGTCACTGAGTATGGCGCAGGATGAAATGAGGATCTTACTTTTGGACGGATCGTGATAGGCCATGTGATGTGATGACGGCCAAGTGGGGGGTGGTGGGGGGTGGATCTGTAGTTTGGGAAATTGTGGGAAGCCCGAAAAAACTTTTTGATTTGGGATTCCACAGATGTGCCAGGTGCTATTCTAATAAAGGTACTTTTGAGATATGTTGGTCTCGGAGTTACCTATTGGAATGGAGGTTTGCTGGAACACTGACACCAGGCGTGGGATATGCTGGTTCGCTGAACCGGCCATAAAATTAGCTACCATTTTAGTACAGGTTCACCCAAACAGGGGCGAATTGGTAGCAGCACCCCTGGACCTAAATAGGAATCAATTGCCAAGCATCTGAATTTTGACCATGGGGATGCTACAATGGTCGTACGTGTGAAAAACAGATATCAGTCAGTTTTTGCAGTGCTGTTGTAACTTTGAACGATCACTAAACGAACTATTGTAAGTCAAGGACTAACTATTTTCGTGACAAAATCTTTTACAATCTCTTTGCCCCTTGTCTCTCAGCAAGCTATAGAACCTCCGGTCTCGTCAGAAAGCGATGCTTACGTGAAAGGCAGCTTCTCATCATTGGGCTTGATACACCGAACATAATGAGGAGTGGTAGCATTCAGGGTCTCCATTAACAGGTGCAATGAATTACGAAACTGAAAGAGAGGGGGGGGAGAAAGGTAACTTTGCAGGAAGTGGAGGAATGTGACAAGGCTCGTTTTACTGGTAAGCCTGGATGAAATGGCCAAGCCATTCACATTATTGCATTGTATATTGCTCAGAGTTGCTTTGAATAATGAGACTGGCAGCATATAAATTTAGTAATACATAAATACATTTAAGAATTCCTAGGACAAATGCCAAATGACAGAGTTGGGAAGGGCCCTGGAGGTCTTCTAATCCAACCCCTGCTCAAGCAGGAGACCCCATACCATTCCAGACAAATGGTTGTCCAGTCTCTTCTTAAAAATCTCCAGTGATTGGAGCAGACTGGGGAATTCTGGGAGTTGAAGTCCACGTATCATAAATTTGCTAAGGTTGAGAAACACTGAGTTAGGGCAGAGACTACTGTCAAACCAATGGATGGATGGATGGATAGATGGATGGATGGATGGATGGATGGATGGATGGATGGATGGATGAACCATTTCTTCTCCTCTCTTCCTGTTCATCTCCTGAATCAAGTCAGGAACCAGGCTGTGTTTGGAAGGTACTGTGACTACCTATCCAACTGGCTCCTGATAAAGATCTTTGGTTCACTAAACTCTTACTAAAGTAGCCATACCCAACATTCAATAGAAACATTTTTCTCATTCTGATTTTGAGGTTGGGGAGGGAGGGGGGAATTGCAATACAGACAAAAACTTATAAAGAACAGTTACAGGAATTGGGTATGGACAGTCTAGAGAAAAGAAGGACTAAGGGTGACATGATAGCAGTATTCCAATATCTCAGGGGCTGCCACAAAGAAGAGGGAGTCAAGCTATTCTCCAAAGCACCTGAAGGCAGGACAAGAAGCAATGGGTGGAAACTAATTAAGGAGAGAAGCAACCTAGAATTAAGGAGAAATTTCCAGACAGTTAGAACAATTAACCAATAGAACAGCTTGCCTCCAGAAGTTGTGGGTGCTTCATCACTGGAGGTTTTTCAGAAAAGACTGGACAGCTACCTATCTGAAATGGCATAGGGTCTCCTGCTTGACCAGGGGGTTGGACTAGAAGACCTCCAAGATCCCTTCCAGCTCTATTCTGACTGATTGCAGGAAAGAAGCAATGTACTTCTATCCCAAGGTCCTAGGGGAAACAACTGAAAATAACTTCAACTTAGAATGAGCCCTTGTAAGGTTTTGCATGCTAATGGAATTTGCATCCTTTGAACCTCTCCCCCAAAAAGTTAAGATTGGAAGAAAGATATAATATATCCATTTTAGCACAGTTTTTCCCCCATATGATCCAGTTTTGCATTTACTCCCATTTTACAGCCCTGGCAATTTTTATTGATAACATTATAACTTGGATGGGGGCCAGAAGTAGGCAGCCTACCAGAAAAAAACAGAGAAACTGCCTTGAAAAAAAAGACTGCATTGTACCTGGTGCCCTACTGTTTTCTTGTGTTCCTTATTGGCTGCTTTTACAGTTGGACGGGCCGAGCGGATATTGATTTTGGAAGAAGTTTTCTTTCCAGAAGGAGCAGCTGGAGCAGAGTCTTTTTCATCATGGAACAACTCCACAATTACTGGGTACTAGAAAGAAGAAATAAAAAGTTGTTATCTTGCTTCAGTGGTCAAGCAACAAAGCATTTGCATTCTTAGCAAAGAAACATGGTGAAATCCACACCAAATACCAGCAGCATCGGTATCAATGAAAACAAACCACCTTTGTATATTCCAGAGGTCTCCAAACTTGGGAGGTCCTGGTATATTCCCAAAAGTAACAAAGCCTCATTGTATTGCTTGCTATTGTTTGTTTTATCATTTTTAATCTCTTGACAGCAGGCCCGGGGGAATGTTAAAACACGAGAATCAGTCTGCTGGAGCCCGACTAAGCCCATCTAACCAGCATTCTAACTGACATGGTGGTCTCTACATCTAGGAAGCCCAAAAATAGAACCCTCTTTCCAATGTTGCTCCCATGTACTCAGTGTCAGGGCTCCAACAAACCACCACCATTCAACTCGTAAGTCTCTAGCCACATTTCTTAGAGTTTAAAAAAAAAAAAAGATTTATTAGGAGTGACCATGTCAGCATTACCTGGGTGCAGCTGACTCTAAGACACATCATTCATTTCTCCCTTGACCCTGGTCTTCCCCCCCGCCCCCTGGATGTATATTCTCCAATGGGACACATCCATAGCCAAGAGTCATCAATCATGCTCTCCAGTAATAATCTTGCACGCCAACAGCTTCGGCTGCCTAGCAATTATCTGAAGCATTTAAGGAATGCTGTACTTTCCCCCCTCTCTTTCTGCTGGCAACTAAAAAGACCAAAGAAGTATTTTTTTAGTTGACATTCAGTATATAAAGTCATACAACATAGAATCATAGGGCCGCATCAGGGTTGTGTTTGACCTCAGGGGTGTGGCGGGGTGTGGCCAGGGTGGATGTGGCCAGCTCAACATCACTCATGTTGGGGGCGCCTGTGGTGGCCTGAGCACTGTGGCAGGGAAAACGGAGTTTGCGGCCCTTCCGAGCCCCATTTTCGCTGGCAGAGGGTTGAAGGAGTCCATTGCAGCTGCGGGCAGCCCGTGCGGGCCAGATCCAGTCCGCAGGCCTTGAGTTTCACACCCGTGTTCTAGTCCAACCTGCTGCTCAAGGTAGGAAACCTTATATCATCCTGGTCAAATGGTTGTCTCTTTTTGAAAACCTCCAGTGATGGAGCATCCACAACTCCAGGAGGCAAGCTATTTCACTGATTAATCGTTCTCAGTCAGAAAATTTCTCCTTATTTCTAGGGTGGATCTCTCTTCAATAAGCTTCCATCCATTGCTTCTTGTCCTGCTTTCTGGTGCTTTAGAGCAGTGGCCCCCAACCTTTTTTATGCCACGGCCTGGTACCGGCATCACAAAATGATCTGCAGCCCGGTACCGGCATCAGCACGCATGACAAGGCAAGGCGAGCTGAGCGACCGGCCAGCCAGCCATCCCCTGCTTCTCCCCGCCACCTTCAACTCCTCCTTTGTACCTTTGTCGATGGGCTTCGGGACGGCTTTGGGACGGTCGCTCGGCTCGCCTTGCCTTGGGTGCTGAAAGAATCCTCGCGCCTTAGTTTTGTTCGAAGCCGCCCCCTCCCCTTCAATGAAACTAAGGCGCGAGGATTCCTTCAGGACCCAAACGCCGCTTTCCAACCAGAAAAGCTCACCGGAAGCACTTTCTCATCAAAACAAGATGGCGGCGCCCAGCAAACCGGCGGCCCGGTAGAAAATGTTCCACGGACTGGTACCGGTCCGGGGCCCGGTGGTTGGGGACCCCTGCTTTAGAGAATAAGTCAGTCCCCTCTTCTCTGAGACAGCCCCCCAAGTACTGGAAGACAGCTATCATGTCTCTCCGCCCTCAATCCTTCTTTTTGATAGGCTAGACATACCTAGCTCCCTCAATTGTTCATCATACAATTTAGCCTTCAAGCCGCTTATCATCTTTTTGGTCTTCTCTGCACACTTAACATCTTTTTTGTATTGTGCAGAACTGTATGCAGCCTTCCAAGTTTGGCAACTTTAAGAACTGTGGACTTCAACTCCCAGAATTCCACAGCTAGCATGGCTGGCTAGGAAATTCTGGGAGTTGAAGTCCACAGGTCTTAAAAGTTGTCAAAAGTGTTGAGAATTTACTGTGTTCCTTCTTCGTTACTGAATCTTTCTGCTCTTTCCCCTAATCTGAGGTTGCTTCCTTCGATTTTCTTCCTCACACCTATGCACAGAGCACATGCTGTTGGATTTTCCGCTTGGCGGGATATAGTAGCTTTGATACTAGGCCTTGCCTATTCCTATAACAGTTCCCCTTTTAAAAAAAACCTACCTAACTTGCTTCACTAATTTTTGTTAAGGTCATATTTCTGCTTTCAAGAATGTTCACATGCAACCAAAGGAGGCTTAAACCTCTAAGAGGTCTGTCCCATTTAAGAATTTCAGTCCAAAACGTTTGCTAGAATAACGAAAACCAGCACATTTCCACAACTGTTTTCATTAAGACAAGACCGCAATTTATCGTCTGGTGCTTCCTGAGATTGATCGTCTCAATTCTGTTGGCATGTTTGCCAAAAGCCTCTTGAGGAAACAATCTGTTTGCACAGAGTGGTTTTCTGACTTGACACACAACTGTCTATCTGCTTTGTGCTTGCAAGTTTTATTTTAATATTGGCTGCCAAGAAAACTCCTTTGTCCATCTCCCGCCTCCAGCAAGCTTTTGTTATTTTAACACCTTCAGGGAAATTGTCACTTCATTCCTGAGAGAAATCCTCTGTCCACTATGCCTATAATTCGTAGATTATGAAGATAAAGATTCCATGTATTTTTTTTTCCAGAATCGTCCTTTTCAGATATAGGGGTACACAGGAGAAGTTAACAGTAACTAATCTATAGATAATCTTATGACCACAATTGGGAGCAGAAATTCCATCGTTAAGCAATGTGGTCATTAAACCAGTTGTGCCCGATTTTAGGACCTTTTTGCTGTGATCCTTAAGTGAATCACTATGGTCTTTAAGTGAATCACCATGGTCATTAAATGAATATGGCTTCCCCTATCAACTTTGCTTGTCGGACATCTCCTCTGAAGGTACTATTTGGGAATAATATGACCCCGGGACACTACCTCAGTCAAGGACTGATTGTAAGTCATTTTTTTTTCAACACTACCGTAACTTCAATCACTAAACCAGTGGCTGTTAAGTTGAGGACTACCTGTATTACTGGAATGATGCCTATAGCAAACAGTGGAAGTCTCAAAGGTGCTTTCTCAGGAGGCAACTGGACTTTGTTTTTTTCCTTTGAAGGCGTTTCGCTTCTCATCCAGGAAGCTTCCTCAGCTCTGACAGGATATTGGGGAATGGAAGGATGGAATCCTGTCAGTTGAAAAAGCTTCCTGGATGAGAAGCAAAACTTCTTCAAAAGAAAAAAAAATACAAGAAAGTCCAGTTGCCTCCTGAAAAAGCACCTTTGGGACAACCATGACCTGGATGACTGAGAACCTCTACAAAAACAGTGGAAGTCTTTCCATCGGTGGTGTTAGTGGTAAGAGTGCAGTACTGCAGGCTACTTCTGCTGACTGCCGGCTGACTGCAATTTGGCAGTTCAAATCTCACCAGGCTCAAGGTTGACTCAGCCTTCCATCTTCTGAGGTGGGTAAAATGAGGACCCAGATTGTTGGGGGCAACAGGCTGACTTTGTAGACTGCTTAGAGAGGGCTGGAAAGCACTGCGAAGCAGTATATAAGTGCGATTGCGATTGCTATCACCACAAGTTTCCATCTAACCGAACATCCCAGGAACTCTAAGTCAAACGCTTTTTAAGAAACCCACAAATAAGTTACCGCAGACAACACTCAAACCCCGATTTTACAATCCAGCCCACAGCTAGAATCTATCTCTTTTGACTAATCAGCATTCATAATCTTAAGTAGCAGTAGGAAGAGAAATCGTTTCACATTTTTAGCACCAGTTTTCGGGCAGAATGGCAAGTGGCTCTGAAAAATTTATTTCCAAGGAGAAGAGAATTCCTCCGGTGGTTTCATCCATAATTCTTGCATCACAAGATGGCCTGCGGCTTGCATGAATATTCTGACTTTCATTTTATAATCCCATCCAAGTATGAACTGTTTCCAACCCATTTCGCTTTCTTATACTCAAGCTACCACTTCCTTTGATGGCCTTTAGGATTCAGCTAGTTCTTATTGTCCACAATTTAAAAAAAAAAAAAAAATCCAGCCAGGAGAGAAGCCTCCCCCACACTCAGCCAATCTGCAAAATACTTTTGTGTAACCCAAAATACACAAAATACTTTTGCGTAACCCAAAGGCCACCTTGTTCAAAATACCAAAGCCCGTTTGCGTTCCTTGTTTGCCTCTTTTTATAGCCTGTTCTTTCTCTTTGCTCTCCTTTTCCTGGTGCACTTGACTCTTTAACAATGGCCTAAAATTACCCTGCCATTGAAATGGTGTTATCTCCTCCAGGCAGTCTGGTCTGTCCGCTAAACTCTTTGAAAGAAGCCGCTTATGAACGCAGCTACCTCCTCCCCATCAGAAGCTAATTTTCCCATCCTTCTTACCGGAATTTTTTATCAGATGTCTCCTGGTAAAAGAAAACCTCTAGGACATTAAAAAAAAAGAAAAGAAAAGTCCTGTTAAAAGGGAGAGAAGCTCACACACTCCTCTAGAGAACATCCAATAAAAATAAATTGGACTACCCTTTTAAGAAAATCTATTTTCAGCAGGGCAAGTAGCCGGTGGCTCATTCTGGCATTCAGTCTTAATGCAAAAGGAATTGCTAGGTTCTGCAGTTCTGGATGTAGCATGTATGAATGCACACCACAAAGGCATGTAGGTACTCTCTGATTTACAATCATTTGTTTAGTGACCATTCAAAGTTACTGTTGTGGCCTGTCAGCCGGCAGCCCCTTCATCGCGGATGAGGCGGAGATGTGGGAGTCAGTCATCAGGGAAATCTGACGGCTCCAAGGGGGAAGAGGGCATGGAGCTGTCAGAGAGAGAGAGAGAGAGAGACAGAGGTGGATCCTGGGCTGTCCATCAACCCTCA